TATATATATATATATATATATACTCCTTTCATGCTCACCTTTCCACTCTTTTTTACTTAACCTAATATATATTCTATATTCCTTTTTTTCCTCTTCTTTCTGGAGCATTAGAATAAGTACCCTAACTCCTAGCAACCTTAAGCCTATTTTTGGAACAGCTAGAGGGGCACCACCTGAGGCTGGAAATGCCTCATTATTTTTTTTGTATTGCTACCTAAAAATAATGGTGAAAAACCTGTTTTCTGTTTTCCACTTACAGCCAACAAGAACGACAAAACTGAGAACAAGACCAGTGAGGCCAAGAAACCCAAGACTACACGTAAGAAACATAAAATACTTAATACACAAACTACACAATACACATGTTTTCGTGCAGTTGTAAGTTAGTTTCACAGACATCCATGACTACAAAAGCTCCTTGGGTATTTCCAGTACTTCTTCTACCAGTCAGGTCCCTGTATCCACTTCAGGACCACTTTGAGGTATTTTATCAAAGCAGGGACCAGCATGGTAACACAAAATTCTGGGCCCAAACGTGGGAGAAGGTTACCACCAAAATTTCAGATGCACCCGAAAATTTTGTCCCCCATGATTTTATTCAAACACTGGCAGAAGTGTCACAACACTGGTAGAACTGGGGTAATATAGAGCAATAAGTATGTTAGATTAAATAATTAAGCGACATATTTTATTGTATAAGCATTAAATGTAATAGAGAGAAAACCCCAACAATCAGACAAACCCCTGTGAGCAAGCACTTGGCGACAGTGGGAAGGAAAAACAATGCATACTTTCATAAAAAGTAAATGACATAGTGGTAGGCTTTTACATTTTCACAAATTTTACTATATTATACTAGAATATAAATTATTATACTATTATAGTGATATATAAATTATACTTATTATAATTTCTGTTTCTCTGTAGCCCGTCCTCGCCCAGCCTCAACCGCCGCTCCTGCTACCCCGGCTGCTTCCACCAATGGAGAATCCAGTGCCACTCACCGCCGTCGGGTCATCACCAAACCCCCTGTGCCCAAGCAGACTCCCCTGGATAAGAAACCAGCTGTTCCCCGTGCTCCCCGCACCCCCCGACCCATCAATGCTCCGACACCAGATCTAAAGAACGTCCGTTCCAAGATTGGTTCTATTGACAACATCAAGTACCAGCCCGGTGGAGGAAAGGTAAGACAAAGAGACAGCACAAGAGAGGACTATGAATAATTCAGGACAGTGATGTACCTGTCAAGATTCATGAATGAATGCTTTTCTTGTAACAGCGAATGATTTGGCGATGGGTGGTTTGTACTTTAAATAGCGCATGTGTGTTATACAGCATAATAACATGAATTAATTCCTTTACTCTGGGATTGAGATTGGATGTCAGAATATATTGAATTTAACCTCTGCATATTTCATAGTTTATTTACAGGTTTTCTTTTTAATTCCTGGTCATTCTGAAACAGATAAAAAATTTTAAATAGATAAAAGTAGTGTTGAAAAATGCTGAATTCAAAGAATTTCAAGTGTTTTACCTTAAACTTAACTGTATAATAGGTACTGGTACAAACTCTCAGAACAGCACTGCAAATCTTTCTCGCAGTAGAAGTGGATTTCCTGAAACATTGTAAATGTGTTCCTGGATCCTCATAATTCTGTGCAAACAATGTCAGTGCCTGGAGTGCAGAAACGATCAGATGACTACATGCTCTGACTCTGCGGAATACACTGGATTCAGTTATATTTGCAGTGCCGTACAGCAGTGCCGCTGGCACGGTGCAGCTATGGTTAGACCTACAGTAGAGAAGAACACTAGTAATCAATCAATCAATTAAAGCTTTATTCGCCACATGCAGGTTGCCCTGCAGTGAAATGGGACCCCCCCCACCCCACCCCCGACCTTACACACACAACACAGACATTACATGGGGATACAAGTCAGACATCGGTAGCGTTACAGAAAAACACTGAATATACTACAGTGGGAAAGTACGAGAGGAAAAAAAAGAGACCTCTACTCATGCTCTGCCTCCATGGTAGGACAGCATGAGAACAGGAAACAAAAAAACTCCTCTGCACAAAAAGCACATAAATGTCCACAGTACAACTTTGTGAAAGACATGACAAGCCACAGGATTGGGTGGGGGGTGAGGAGTAATCCGAAGCGAACACAGCAGCCGCCCTACAGCGTTACCATTCCAGCGCGGCACACAGACCCGCCGTGTTCCCCCGCAGGAAACAAGCATCGAAGGATGAGTGTGTGCTTATCAGTGTAAGTGTATGTGTGTGTGCGTGTCCATAGTTCAGCTGAGACAGTGTCCTTCGCCCTGCCAGGCTAAGTAAACAGTCTACCAGCCAACCCAGGTGGCCTTGCATGGAATGGGAAGGAACGGACTCAACACAGTGGTTATCAGGGTGTTTTTGTTCGCCTCCGGCCTTGAGCCCACAGCTGGCGCTGAAGGGGTAGCCACATCATAATGGTGATTTGTCTTTTAGAAACAACTCATGAGAATTTCAAGCTGTTTTTAACACTCCGACACTGGTCTCTCAATCTCCCATTGGATAGCTGCGAGTTTCTCCATGATGTTATTTACCTTCAATTCTGTGGTCTTGTCAGTCTTCTGCTCACAGAGCAGATTCTGAGACCTCACGACCCGCGTGTAATCCAGAGGTGTTGTTCCGAGTGGATTCTTCCCTGATGTAATCCAATATACGCTCAGAGGTGTTATTCTGAGCCTTCACTGCAGCCGTTAGCGCCTCCAAGCTCTTAACCATGCTGCCTTCAGTGAGCCCTTTCTGAGAAGCCGCACCTCGTCCCATCGTTTCAATCCCAGTGGGCAGCCTTGGGGGGTTTGAACAGCCGGTTCCGCTTTCTTAATTTTCCAGCCAGGGCCAAGCCAGCTCCGATCAGCAAGAACCCTGTTATCATGGTTCCGAATAGGTAGATATCTTCAGCGTCCGCGATCGACAGTCCCGCCAGGCACACGATCCTACATGTCTGCCACCCGTCCATCGTGTATCCGGCAGGGAAAGTCCCTCCAGGGCACTCGGGCTCTCCCGAGCCCAGACTTCTCGTTGAGAAAAGGGTGTCAATAGCATTCAGAGACCAGGTAATCAAATCCCTAAGTCTCTTTAGGTTTTAGAAACAGACTGTGAGAGTGTGTTCCAGGAAAGTGAAAAAAGCACGAGACAAGACAAGGACATAAGAAGCTAAGCAGGGAAGATAAGGGAGAGGAGAAAAGTGCGACCGCATTCGCTGAGAGCCAAACGAGAAGAGAGTAAGAGAGAAAAGCAATCCTCACATGAGCTACTGAGTGTATATCATTTGACACCATTTGAAATAACAATAACTCAGAAACATGTCACTTCTGCACTGTGGGCATTTTAAAGGGCGTGTACATGTTAACTGAGAAAATAGCAACTTTACAACTCTATATTCGTTTTCCAGCGTCCATCTAACATCAATCTTTTAACATATTCCTCTTTCTGAAATATCCAGTTTTTAACAGCATCTTGCTGCAATGCAAATGTTCTGACAGATGATGTTCTATCTCAGAATGACATACAGAACAGGAAGCATGCATGCTACCTGTATTCCACCACCCTAAAGTTGCCCAGCATGTCATGACATGGATCAGAGACATGACTGTGTTGTCCATCTCCCTTCAATGTTATGTGACAGTGTGTCTAGAGGAAGGGGTGTGCCGTCGCTTTCAATCACAGGCATCATCCTCTCTCTGTCTGCCCTGCCATGTGAAATAATGTGTCCACTCTATCCATTATATCTTCTCTATTGTCCGTCAGAGAGTGGTTTTGCCTCAGAACAATATTGTGCTGAGAAAGTAGCCATTTTGGAAAATGTGCAGGGATTTTTTTCTTTCTTGTTGGGAGTTATTGAGAAGTTTGACGTCTCTCTCAGACGTTTTGAGCTTACTAAAGCTCGAGCTGGAGATCAATTGGATAGGCTTGGAAAACAGAAGCAGGGAAATGGCTAATATGTGTTTTTTTACTTTAAGCAGTGAATGTTTTCTGTTTATGCACAGATAGTAGAAAACATGGACGTGGCTTCCAAATATGAAAAAAACAAAAAAAGCTAATGGGGAAGTGCCTCACGCTGTGTACGGAAAGTGCTCTCTATCTGAGGGCCAGCGGACGGTGATTTGCTGTCTGTTTACAGGTTAATAGGCTCGTTCACTTGTTTTGGTTCATACTGAATAAAAAATTAAGTCACTTTTATAAAACTTGGTCATATCATGATTCAAAATCGAGAATTATGTTTATTATAAAATCACAAGCTAATTGGCTAATAACTTGTCATTAACAAATGAGTGTTTCGCACCTACAGCTCCTGGTGGCATCGTCTTTTGTTTTGCAGCCATGAAAATGGTTGATGTCACACTAGCTACGTCCGTCGTAGTGTTAGCTAAAGAGTAGCAAAATACAGTCAGGCAAATTTACATACGTGCACACACAATGAAATCAGAATAAAATATGTTTATTCTTGAGCTTCAGAGGTTCTGGTAGGGTTGAATGCTAATAACTAAGCTAATGGGTTCAAGCTTTATGTTGATCATTCAGATAATCGGGGCAGGGATAGCTCAGTAGGTAGAGTGGTGGCCCCATGATCGGAAGGTCGGGGGTTCGACTCCACTGAACGGCTACCCTGAGGTACCCCTGAGCAAGGTACCGTCCCTACACACTGCTCCCCGTGCGCTGCATTGGTGGCTGCCCACTGCTTCACTGGGTGAATGGGTTAAATGCAGAGAAACTATTTCGCTATGGGGACTAACACACACACTTTACACTGATCAAGAACGTCTACTTTGCAAAATGTTGAATTATATTTAAATGTTCTCACAACTAATAGTTGCATTCCTCATACACTTGTTGACATTTTGTCCACTTGTTTGTATGTTTTTGTGTTTCTCTAGATAGTCAAAGTTAATTTGCGTTCTTTTGCACTAACTACATCGGTTTCATTTCCATGTGTCTGTAGTGACCTTTTCTGAAATTGCAGATACAAAGTGTCTTTCTGTGCACCAAAATAGGTGCACAATGATTAACAAATATTTATGTCAATATCTTCCTTTCACATCCATTACTCTCTCCTGCCTGGTCATACTGCAGTGTTTGGTTGGGTGTTGTTGTATCCAGCATAGACGTCGCCACTACTCCCATTCAGGGGAACACAATCCATGCACCTTTTCAGCAACGCTTAACTTCCACAACCTGTAGCGTTTAGTCATGATTGTATGGCCAATTAAAGTTAGATTACTGTAGAAAAGGAGCTGTTGCTTTCTGTGCAAATAGTTCTGTGAAATTGCCCTGACCTTGTACTTTTCTGTGTGTAACAAAAGAGCAGTCGGAAGGGAAAATATTGCTATGAACTGTACTTAACCGCTCCATTCACTCTTTCAGGCATTGTGTTTCACAGGAGCATCTTCCCTGCTTTTCAAAACACGCTTTTACTCTTTGAAAGCTTCTTTACACAAACACATCGGCGCCCTGCATCGTAATTACTGGCACTGACTCATTCAGTCTTTTGTGATACTAAATTGCTTATGTTTACATTTTCTATTCAGGAGGAGTTTATGTGACTAATAGCCGTTCCCACCTCAGTATTTAGCAATAATATCAGTGCTGTTTATGTGAGCAGTGGTACACTCCAGAAATGTGACATTTGATTTGTTGTTTTCAGACTGTATAAATAAGCCGACACTTTTTTTGTGATGGTATTTGATTAGCTTTTGTCACTAACAAAAGAAAAATGTTACTACATTTGTACTAATGTCATGTTTTAAAAAGGCTCCATCTGTTCCAGTTTTCTACCAGCTGAATGCACAATACTCCTGATCTTCATGCTAAATTGTCCCAAAAATAAATTCTAACATTTAACTACTACTATCAATTATATAATATTATTCATACACCCACACATTTGGTTAATGTATTTGGTTCTTCGGCTTCTTTTTTAAGTAGCTCTAACATCCATTACACTCACACAATTGGTCCAGGCATTTGCATTCTTTTGATCACACCCATGTCGTCCACCTCGTTGTGGTGTAGCATTTGGTTGGTTGGAGGTTGTATTGACCAGGGGTGCTGGTTGTCTCCTCAGGTCTCTTCCACCCCGAACAACAAGACATCAGACCCCTCCACCCCTGCTGCCAAGGCCAGAGTGAGTCCTTGCCATTGACACCTTCACACCCCAGTACATTCACCCTTCTGTATGCATTCATCACAAGCACCACCTGCTCAACATCTCGAACAACACTCCACCTTGCTGTTCATTCCTACATGCACCTGCATATTCTGTCTGTTGATACTAAAGCAGGTTTCATTGTATGGTATATTTGTAAGAGACAAGTATAAAAAACAACAACTCTAAGGCTAATTTCTAACACCAGTACCTTGATTAATAAGTGTAATTGTTTAAAATCATTATTGGACAATATCATATTATGTCATTATTGCAGTTCTGGACAGGCTCTAACTGCGATATATAAAGTTTTAAAATCTCAAATTTGCTTGGAGTAAACAGATCAGTGCAAAGGGAGTCTTGTAGTGTCTGACTCTTTCATGCAGTATATTCAGTGTGTTTATAATATTCTAGTGAAGTCTAAGAACTTGGTATACTATTTTAAAATGTTTAAAAATCCCAATGATTTCTTGGCTTAACTTGGATTGCCTCAATATAGAGGCTTGTAGGTGCTTTAACAACAAATCGTGAATAACCAAGAGGTTATTCAGGTTCAAGAATGAGATAAAAAAAAGAGTAATGGCAACAGAAAAAGGATGAATCTGTATGCAAATGGTAAGCAATGTGCAATTTTATGGCGTTATTTTTGTGCCACTATTCTGAGCGCACATAAAAAAAAAATTGCAGGTGCAAGTGTTGCATTTTGAGGAGAAATTTATTTTGAGTAAAGAAAAGCTAAATTTGAGTGAACAAAATTCATTGCTGCGTGCAAAAACTGTATTTCAGTGTTTGCTATTATCCACACACACACACACACAACAGCAGCCCCTCTCTCTTTGCATTTGCGCTTGCTCGCAATGTGTTGCTCGCGCTCTCAACATTTCTGCTCATGCGCGCTCAACTCTTTCTCTACATCATTATATTTGTGCCACAAAACCAGCCAATCACAGACTTGGATGCAAAAAAAATCTGATTGTCTGTTTTGGTCTCCAACCAGCTCGAAACGAGGCAGCGGCGGAGGAACACAGAGTGGCGGAGTTTGAAATAATACTCTTTCTGGGTCACAAAATAAACTTTTAAGATATTTTCATGTGAGAATGGTGCTGTGTGAACTTCAAATACCTGCTCGATTTATCAAGACATCACATATTTGCAAAAGTGCTCTAACGTTTTCAGAGTTACCCGAGGGCGGCTGCTATTGTGTGTGTGTGTGTGTGTGTATGGATAATAGCAAACACTGAAATACAGTTTTTGCACACAGCAACACGCTGCTGTCAGATGCATTCGTCAGCAAATGTGGCTGTGTTGGTCACTCTTGCATGAACAGCCTACCCAAGCTACCCTACCCAATCTGTGAGCAAACCGGTCCAAGATCACTACCTCCAGAGAGCCGTGTGTGGTTCTTCCACATGCTACTGAGCCTCCCCCCGGTTGTTAAATTGATAAATTGTCAGTATGTCTTGTTTTTTCAGACTTCAATCACCCAATCCAATAAACAACACCAAACAAGAGTCAATAGCAGAATAAGCTGTCTGGCTTTGTCAAGTTTTTCATGGGTGTGACACACAACCCAACTGCTGCTCTACCCACAAATGCTTTGTTCTTACAAATGTGACACCATTTAATGGGAAATAAACAGGCTTTCCATTGATATAAGATTTACTGCCAAGAAGCACTGTTAGAAACAAAGAAATAATCAACCAAACACAAATTCACTTACTCTTTGTGCTAAGATTTATCCACTGCAATGAATACAGAACATGGGTAGTATAACAGTGTGTACCATTAGCTAGAAAAGCTAGAAGACATGATATGTGTACAAATACAAAATGCAAATTAATCTCACGCATTATCTTTGGCTGAAATTGATGTTGCATTCTTTGAAATGTGGTCTCCTCTCATCGATAAGTGTCACTTGGTTGCCACTTTTTAGCGGTAATTTACTAAAATATTTTCATCATCCTGCTTCTTTATCTAGCATAGCATGAGAATCATTAGAAATTAAGGAGACATGATGAACGAGAACCATGCAGCTGCTTGAAATCAATTAGGATATTTATGATGTGCTATCTGTGAGGAATACAAACTGAGGAGTCTGCTGCTTTTTGTCTGTGTGTTTGTGTGTGTTCGTGCTTACGCATTAAGTGTATGTGCACTCACTGCTCAGTGAGTCATCCTTTGCTGGTGCCACCTGCGTCATCATGCCATTTTCATCCTGGAGAAGCAACACTAAGACAAAGACAGAGAGAATGGAGGAAGGCGTCTTAGGCTTGCTGCAGGGCTTTTTTACAATGCAGCGACAGAGCCAATCAAAGTGATATCACACAAACAGGTTGGTGTTAGCTTATATAGAAGCAGGACAGGGTGGCTGCTTTTGATTCTTCATCATCAAAGTGGCTTATCTGCAACATCTTAAAAGCTTTGACTATTTTACCTGAGAAAGTTTAGGCTGTGAAAAAGATGAAGACATCAAAGGGCAGCCTATTATTTCCATTTCTGGCTCTATATTTTTATTTTGGGAATTTACTAGAGTAGCTTTGAATGATTCAAAATTCTAAATAATCCTTCTTTATCATATACTGGACCTTGGTGCAGCCCCTTAGTTTCTCAGCTGTCTGCAAGTGACAGATGATTGAAATTTGCTGTGTCGCCACGGCCTTGCTTTTTGACGAAAACTCAAAAACTCCACATTATGACCCAGGTTTGTAGTTGAGACTAACCAAATATAAAGTTGGTCCTACAAAAAAACAAGGAGGAGTTGGCAAAAGTATAACACCATGAATAATCAAGCAATCAATTCAAGCAGGTTAAAGGCCTCAAAAAGCCATTAGAAGTGATTACATGTTTCATGCTCCGGCCATAATGATAGTAGTTGGATTAATTCTTATTAAAAGGTAATTAAAAATTAAAGTTTATTTATGAAGGGTATTTTTTCAAGTCAAGTGGCTTTATTGTCATTTCAACCATGTGGTAGTCACAGTGAAACCAGACAGCGTTCCTTCAAAATTACGGTGATTTATATAACAGGCAGTCAACACAGGGAGTGCAAAAAAACAGTGCAACACCAGGCAGAACAGAACAATCCCACATAGCAAAATTGGTATGGATCGGATCTGGCCCACACACCGCAAAGAATGACGGCCCTTTGGTGGCCCAGATCTGGTTTGCCAAATGTGGCCCACACATGGACCAGCAGCAGACACACTGGTGGTCCTGTGCTGGCCCAGAACAGTTTGAGCTCTGGCCCTAGATGTCAGCCTAATATGTACCTTAATCAAGACATGTAATAACAACATGCGCCAGAATATAATAGTGGAAAAGTAACATGAAGAAACTCTGTTCAGACAATGAATGGATTGATTCTTATATAGCCCTTTTCACTATCCCAGATTACTGAAAGTGCTCTAAGCAACATGTCACATTAACACACTTTGTCTAAACTGAGTGCTTCCTAACTACATTCATACTCTTGGCATGCAGACTGGAAGAGCCAGACCTGGCACACATCTGGTTGACATGCACCAGTCAGTCAGAAGGGCCAGCTTGATGCTGGATCCAGGCCAGACCTGTTTTCTATGAGCCTGGGCCACATAAACCAATCCACAATCGGGCCAGATGTGGCATGCCATCACATAAATGGTGCCATCTATGCCAGGCCCATATCTGGATGACATATGTCTTACCATGCCAGAAGTCAGCCAGCAGTGCCAGCTTGATACCAGATCCGGGCCAGACCTACTTGCTACATGGGATAGAGATACAAGACAGTGCAAACACAACAACAATTTAAACATGCATTTCACTGACAGAAGTTTCACTGACAAATGCAACTGCATGGCAGGATGCTGTAAACGGACCAAACTTCAGCCAGGAGAACAACTGAGATAATCCATCCACAAAACAAGGTTAGTCATTAGTATACTGCTGCATGGGCTGGGCTGTAGTTACATCACAAGGGTTTAAAAACTGAGCTTTAAAATGTACAGTGGTAATAAAAACCGAGAGAGGCCTGTTTTTAGGGGCTTGTTCAGATTAAACAGAACAAGATACAAATCAATTATAACATGTTAAAAAACATGTTTAGAAATGACCAAAGTCACATTTTGGCAGGTTGAGTCAAGTTTGCTTTGCTCAAAAATGTCTTTTATCTGCAACATATTACTCAGCCCCAATTCAGAATATAAACCCAGATTGTCCAGATAGGCTTCACACCTAGAGAGACCCGCAAGGTTCAGTTTTAACCAGCCTGATCAAGTTTAGTTATTCATTGTGCACTGCAAGCCCACTCTACACAATACTCCATCCTAAGCAAAGGGTATCATTCAGGCTTTGTCATGCTGTTCACTTTCTAGAATCAGTACAAATCTGATCTGACTTATTAGATTTCTCACTAAGAGGCAGGGAGAATCCAGGTTACTTAACTCTGAATTGTTTAACCTTCCCTGTATCGGTCAGCACTGGATGGCACTACCACAGGTAGAATCAAACTTTACTGGTTGATCACAGGCCATCTACTGAGGGAGATTCAAGATTCAATGTCACATCAATCGGATCACTGAGCTCTTTGGCCCCACAGTATGGTATGCCTTCAACACATTAATTTTAGGACAGCCTCCTTTTGCAGTTTGAGGTTAGCAATCAGGTAGGTTCTCAGTCATCCAGGTCATGGTAGTCTAAGGAGCTTGGAAGGAAAGTGACTGGACTTCTTAAAGTTTCATGAACCCCCAAAAAGCAAACGGCATCAGATTTAAATTGGATAAGTATAATTGTTTTCTACTTATACCTCAAAATGTCTATGGTGTATGGCAAAGACACTGCAATAATTCAGAGAAAACTCTAACATCAGACAACCTGTTATGAGCAAGCACTTGGCAACAGTGGGAAAGAGAAACTCCCCTTTAACAGGAAGAAGCCTCTGGCAGAACCAGGCTCAGGGAGGGGCGCCATCTGCCGCAGCCAGTTGGGGTGAGAGAAGAAAGACAGGACAAAAGAAATGCTGTGGAAGAGAGCCAGAGATTTTTACATTTCAGTTATGTATCTCATTTGTAGCCAAAGCTGAAATACTAAGGAGAGAAGCTGACCATATAACATGTTCTTCCAGCTTGTAGTGTACTGCTGAAAGCACTTCAGACAGAACAACAGGTTTTTCTGCAAACTAGTCTATTTTTGAATCTTTTTAAAACCACCTTGTGCCCTCTGTTGTTCTGAATCTGTCACTTGCGGTTGCTTTTTTGCTTTGCTTTTAGCAGCATGTGTTAACACAAAATTACTGTCCACGGCACTCTTCTCTTGCATGTACTCTCTCTCATCTTTGAGTGTTTGTCTTATGCTTTTTTTTGTAGCTATTGCTGTTTATGGAAGCGCTCTGTTGTTATTCACTCAGTATTCTCATCTTTTGCTAATTATGCATTCATTTTTGTAAGAATCTGCATTGATTCTTTCTAAGAATGTTTCCCATTAACATTCTCATTTTGATGGTTTGTCACATAATGTACCAAAAAGCATTTTTGCTGTCTCATGTGCAAACCATCAATAAGCTTCTATAAAAAATGAATAGCAAAAAGTCTTCCATACTTACAGTACAAGGCTACTCTGTTTCCTGTCAACTAAACCTGCCAGCTGATCAGCTTTCTTTCTTTCTTTCTTTCTTTCTGTCTGTTTTTCTTTCCTCATGTTGCTTGTCTGTGTGTCTGCCTGCTTGTCTTTAGGTTCAGATAGTGCACAAAAAGCTGGACTTCAGCCACGTCACTTCTCGCTGTGGCTCCAAGGACAATATCAAACATGTCCCTGGAGGTGGCAATGTAAGTACTCCTGAAGCTGGAAGGAGACTCTCACATTTTATGCTAATTTAACCTAATTTGGACTATCTTGCTCAAAAGGTTGATCAGTTGGGAATGCCCCTTGTGCCTTGTACTCACCTAGCAGGTGTATTTGTTACAAAGAGATAAAATGGGAATTTATGTTCTTGGTATGTAAATCAGGTCCATCGTTGGGGGATGCATATTGTATTGGGTCCTTATTTACACATTCATACAGTATTGCTCTTGCAAAACAATATTCCTGTTCCTGTTTAAACAATTGCCAGATAATCTCATAATCTCAGCGTAAGAAATTGAATCAGTCTGACTTATAAACATTGTACTGTCCTCCGGTGTTCTCTGATTGGATCTCTTCAAACAAATTTAGTAAATAGGAGCACCCATAAGATCTGAGACTGACAAAAATATTTACAATGTTCAATTCCAAAAATGCACTTTGCGGTTTTGCCTCTTGGTTTAGTTTAACGTTCAGTAATTGAACTGACCGCAGGTGCTCATGCCTACCCTTTCAGGACTTGTTTCTACCTGGTCTGAAAACCTGCTTCACTATCGCCATCTCGCACAACCACAGAGTATATACAAAATATTAATTTAGTCTCCAAGTTAAGCCACTGTAGAAGAGCCTTTAAACCTCTAATGGCCATCAGGGGGCAACTCCTGTAGTCGAAAAAGAGGTCTGATTGTACAGAAGTCCATTAATACATTAACCTGCTGCTAACTGATGAGATTATGTTCTCAATTTAGAGTAAAACAGTTGATAAAGCAGGGTATAACAGCCAGATTGTCGAATCTGATGAATGAAAACCAGAGTCACTGTGACTGTTTCCATCTTTCACATACTGTAGTCTATCCTCGAAACCACCACTTTGCTCTGTCAGCTCAAATAAACTGGGTTTTTTTTCAGTGTGGGGACATGCAGTCATACTAAAAGGTCATGGTAAAAAGAAAGTATACCTTGTGTCATTTTTACTTACTAGTGCTTACCAACTAAAACAATCATTTGGAAGTTTATTGGGATTTGTCTATACACAGCTCTCTTAAGAACTGTTATAGATTTGCTGGTTTGCTTGGGATTATTGTCCTTTTACATTAAATCATTATGGCCAAGAATTAGCTGTAGCAGGCCTCATGTTTGACTCTAGAATACTTTGGTATGTAGAGCTTTGTGGTTGACTCATGGTGACGACATGGTGCCCTGAGGCCTGTACTATGAAGCAGGATTTAATCTTATCAAGGTAACTTCAGCGTTCATCCTGAGTTTTCTATACTAAGAAGATTACATAAGTTTCTATTGCCATAGAAACTTATGCTGTGAACTTGAACTGCGAAGAAGCTGGTTATTTTCAGATTAGAGATCAACAGGTATGAAATCACCACTTGCTGACCAACAGCATTCCCCGAAGGCTCTTTGGACCTCTGCTGTGAGAGTTTGAGGGTTTAACATTTTTCAGCTGCATCTAAAGTCTTCGCATTTCCCTCATGAGCATCAATATTAAACATAGGTTCTTAGATACAACTTAGCATTACTAAAACACAATACACAGACATATCAAGTTTGTACATAGACTAGGCCTAGCCTTTTTTATCTTTAGTCTTTACTCTCAAACCTTTAAACAGCACTGAGTCTCCAGGTGAGAGATTTAAAAACTAAAGCTGTTGGGAGCAGGTTATGTTGAGAGTGTTGGTTGAAAATCATCTGGATGTTTTCACTGTTTCTTTTAGTTAAAGCATGTTTTATACATGATGTGATACAGTTTCTATGCTGGGGGTTACATTTTACATCTGCAAGCTGCTGCACCTTAGTAGAACCACTGAATGAAGCACAAACTGTGTCGCATTGTCTTGGAGATGTGCATGAATTCGTTTGGTGAAGAAATGTTACAGTTGATAAAATAATTATTTGAGCTCGCTCACTTAAAAAAGACATAAACACTGTCTAATTTTTATGGTGGTTTCATTTTAATGGAAAGAGACAGGATATCAAGGCAAAATCCAGGGAAAAAAAACACCAGCATTTACATTTTCTGTATTTACTTACATCACTGATGTGTTTTTATAGTGGAAGATGACATTATGAATATTTAAACTGACTTTTAAGGATTTTAACTATTTGTTTCTATTCTTTAATATCCATTCACATTAGGGTAAGCTACGGGTCCAACAAAAGGTTTTGACAGTTTGTATTACTAATAAAATTTTATCAGCAGAGTTATGGTCATCTCATTCTCCAGTCTGTCATCTTATATGTGAATCTGACTGATTTTAGCACATGTTGTGAGGCAGGTCATCGTGCCAGCTGCCAACTCTACAGTCATGGTGTGACTAGTTACAGCTCGTCCTGATTTATCTGCACAAACGGAGCGATGCCAAACAAAACAAAAAGACACCTTCTAAAATAATGAAACAGGTTAAAACAGGAAATCAAGCATGATTGGTAAAAAAAAGCTGTGAGTCAATTTCACATACTCTGTTGCATTGTCAAGAATGTCACGCCACTATATGAATGCGGCAGATGCAGTATAATGAATGATAGCGATTTTCTAAAGTGGCCTTGAGTGGACGCTGAAGTGAAAGTTGCATTGTACTGAATGACGTAGAATATAAAAAGACAAGATTTTTATGTACTCCACCCCAGGTGCAGATCCTGAATAAGAAGGTTGATGTGAGCAAGGTAACATCCAAATGTGGCTCCAAGGACAACATCAAACACAAGCCAGGTCCATCCCAAAACATTTGTGCTTTTTCTTGCCATTAAACCCAAATGGCATCATATTAAATTTTCCTTATTTTTTTAATCCCAGGTGGTGGTGATGTGAAGATTGAGTCTCATAAGCTAAACATTAAGGCTAAGTCTAAGATTGGATCCGTGGACAACGTGGGGGCAGGAAATGGACAGACCAATGGACAAAAGGTCACTCTTAAACACAGTTAAACATGTGTTAGCAGCTCACAGAAAATTAGCTTTTGTGGTTCTGCTGATTCATTGTGCCACTACTGGCCACCATGTGCCACCATGAGTTTTCAAACTTTGTATGCCCATGTTTCTGTCTGACCCCTACGAACTGTGTGTTTATTTTTGGCTGCAGGAAGAGAAAACTGAGCAGAAAACATCATCACCCCCAAGTGGCACTCAGACAACAGGACCAGGAGTCACTGCTAAGGCAACAGCACCTGGAGGTGTTGCTAAGGAGAACAGCATGAAGGAAACCACACCCACTCCTTTTGGGGGAGATGGACTGAGGGAGCCCCTCAGTGCAGAGAAATGCATCACTGAGACAAGTGGGTGTAAAGGCACACACTCACACACACTGGCTTCATTTTTTATTGAGAATACATACAGTTTACAATTATGACAGGTGTGCTACTGAAGTGCCAAATAAATGAGAATAGGGTTCTTAATCCTAGCCAGTCACTTCACGCTATGCTACTCATATCTGCGAACCCTTAATCTGTAAATGTAGGGACTTTGATCTGGATGGTTCATGTGTACAGCTATAAGAAATCTAAGAAATTTTTTTATTGTTCCTTAAAGCTTTTAATGCTGTAGCTAACACCTGTAAGCTAATGTTAACAGTAAGTTGTGGGTTAAAACTCTTTCTTCTGCTCACTTTTTAATGCTTTCCATTGTACATTTGAAGTGACAATTACACTGTTATAACTTTGTTTGAAAACAATCAATAGATAATTTAACCAAGATTTCTAACTTTTTATGTATTTTCCAACGCCTGGCTGGAGCAAACCTCTCCAAAGTATTACAATCCCATCTAATGCTGCTTCAGTATATAGGAAAATCCACAGCTTTAATGGCCTACTGTGTCACTTATTAGCAATATGTAGCTTGAAAGTCACTGCTCTGAGAATTTGCAAAAACTCAATTGTAGTGTATTCTGTTGCATTCACTCTGTTTCTGTTTATACTGTGGATATAACACTGCTACTGAACCGCAAATGCCTTGCTTTGAATCAAGGATTTTCTTTAGTTATTTATCTGTGTCACCTTGTACCACCCAGGCATAATTTCTGCCTGAGTTATTTTGATAGTGCTTTAGATAAGGCTACCTTAGGCTACCTGCCTGAAAGCCTGGTGTTATTTGCTCAGAGCCACTTGTGCTGACTTTCTAAGCGATCAACACAGAATAGCACACAATTTGATTGTTGCCTGCAGGTGCAAAATAATAGTCTTAATACACTTTCAGCTTCTGAGGAACTTAAGATTGCTATTATCTTTATGGCAATATCTTCAAAACTACAGGAAAATTGTCCAATGTGTGGTTTTATTATAGTTTGCAGACCTATGTTAGCATCTGTATGCTTCTCTCATACTTGCTGTATTCAAATTCAGCAGTCCTCTTTTACTTTCTCACTTTCTATTTCCAGTTAATAGGAAATGGAATATGGCATTTTGGTCTTTGCCTTTCTGGGGTTTTAAAATATGCATGACTATATTTGGACAAGCAGGCAAAATGAATAGCTAACAGTAACATTAGCTGGTTAGGTTGGTAAGTAAGATGACAGAGAAAAACCCAGCTCAAAACAAAATATACGTAAACTGAACACTCTTTTCATATCTTTTAGTGTAACCAGAGAGTGAATATATGGTCATATATAGTACTAACATCTCAATCACAAGTCTCTGCCAGATTCTATCTAAAAGATATAGCCTGGGAGCCAATGTTGAAGTCCCCTAAACCTACAGTCCTTTTAATGAAAAGCAGAGGGTGAAGGTTGGCCTTTCAGACAGTATGAACATGTAGTTTCCCTCAGATCTTTCTCACAGTGGTCACATCCAGTTTCAAAACAACAAGATGGGGGAACGTGGAATGTTTAAACTAACAAGGAAGTCATGCCACAGTGGCTACATCCATCTTTTATAAGAGTCGGTGATTTGTAGAGAACCAACATTGCTTTATTGTTGTCATGTGTCATGAAAAGTGAAAAGACGTACAGAGGGAAGCTACAGCATGACAACAGTAATGGGGTTTTTCAACATTAAAGCATATACACCTATTCTTGTAGACCCCTAAAATAAAAATTATGAATAGTGGTACATGTACAATAGGAGTAAATTAAAAATACATAATGTAAATAGTGTGTGTTTATGAATGAATAAGCACATATACCCACTCCCTGCTTACATGTCGGATAGAGTAGTGAAGCCAGCTCACCTTTTTACCAAATTATGAAATGAAATAATGAGGAGACCTTCAGAGTGAAGATGAGCCAGTCATGGTGGATAAATTCATCTTTACCACAGCTGGTCTCCAGACTCCCCGAGTTCAGAGGGACAACAGACTGTTGCTGTTGCTAAACTCATCTTAATTGATGAATGGCTGTAGCACTAATACAATTTTAAAAATGTCATTTTGATCATTTGCCCCATAATTCATATGAGCTCACAGCAGACATCAGCTAGAGCCTGTAAGGCTGATAAAAACAACAAACTTGTTTTTCATCCTATCATTTTCTCTTCGTTTTGCGCTTCATCTGTTTTTTCTTCTTTAACTTGTCTCACCTCAGACTGAGTCCCAATGACCCACAGATTTTGGTGGGACACGCATGGCGCTCGCTGGCCTGCCAATCAACTACCAACCAACTACCACGGCGCAGTCACTTTCCTCTGATCCCGCCCTTCATCTTGCCCACCGCAGCACCGAACTGACCGATCGCCTCTCAGTGTTTCTCTGGGATCTGCCTGCCAGCTTCCTGCTACCAACTTTGACCTTTGGCCCCTTGTCACCCTTGGGTTGCCCCACCTACCACAGAGAAAAGTAATTGCTGTTTGTCCATGTTTCTCTGTGCAGGTTTCCACCAGCTTCTCCACTGATGCCATTTCCTTGTAAGCACTGACTAAGGTCATTCCAACCTTAAAGCCCAAATGTAACAACCCCAAAGCAATAATCCCACAATCAATCAATCAGTGCTCTATTAAGTATCTTGACCATAGCCACTTTTTCTCATAGAATGTTCACCCTACTAGTGAAAACAGTTGCCTCAGATCACAGTAATGGAGCTTTGTTCTAGACCCTCTGGCAGGCTTTGACATTTAAAAACCAAACTAACAAAAACAGCACCATTCATAGGTCATCAGACGTCTCATTACAGGTCAGTCTACAATTCATCACACGTTACTTCTCTTGGTATCAGTGCAGCAGTTTGTCTCTTCAGAGTTCTTCACAATAATGATTCCTTGAATTTTAATATTATGATGTTTGTAGTCGTGGCTGCAAAGAGCACAAAATGAATCTGGTCTCGAGCGGCTATGCAGAGAGATGTCTGGAAGCAAATCTGAAGATGGATTTTAAAACCAGAGCAATAGCTTCTCAAAAGTCAGATGGTTTTAGTACAATTGAAATCATTCAGCGATGTAACTCGTGCATTATGAAGGCAGCAAGAGGGAGGATACAGGAGCTCTGCTGAATCTCTGGGTGGTTTCGGCTCAAAGAGGATTTGGCACAAAAAAATCTGTGTTTGATCTCAGAGCCAAGTGTTTTTAAAGTTAAGATCTCTCTAATTGACCTTGAAGGAGTGAATATAAATTCCAGCTGAATGAGTGATATTGAAGGATGGTAATAAACCTTGAAATTAAACAGAGTGGCACAGAACACATGCACTCTATAATGTAATGTAGCACTTATGATGGACAGTGTCAATCACAGTGTCACAGGATTCTTTCTAAACATTCAGTCACACCAGCACATCAAATGTCTCCATTTCAGAGTCATTATAGTGTAGACCTGTGGAATCTGTGTGATGGTCTATGGTTGGCATGTCCATACAGGCCAAATGGTTCCTTGCAAATTTTCACTGCTGACTAATAGTAAGCCGTCTTGACAATGCTGAGAGAACAAAGCAGTTTTCAACTGAGGAAGCTACTGTAGGGATCCAGCTGTTTTTCAACATCAGCTTTTATTTCACCTCGGTACGCTCGGGAGCTTTTTTTTCCTTTTCTTAGTACTTGATTGAAATTATAGGGCACAATCTCTGGCACAGTATAAAAAAATGTAGAAGCTTAGAGAGCTGTTGTGATGACTAACTCTACAGCATGCTTTCTGCTTGCTATATTCCAGGCCACCTGCAGTATTAAGTCATTTGAATTTGTTAACATTTGTTCATATATCAGGATATACTAACAAAAACTTCTGCTTTAGATAAATGAGTACAATTCTTTTTCTTTCTCTGTTACTTACTGTCCACATTCTCCAGAGGAAGTTGAATACTTTGATTTGCAACCTCTTTTCCCAAAAAAGGCAGAAGACTTTGTAGATCATTAAAATGTCGTTTGGTGTTAAAATGTTCATTTGAAAGCATATTGTTGAGATATTCACTCAAGCTGAACTAGGGTTTAATGAGTCACTGTTAGCTTTATTTAACCAGGAGAGCAATTAAGAACACTTTGGGTAAAGGCATTTAAAAGGTAAAAGAACATTTCTACACACCTGAAGCCATTTCTACACGCTCACTGGTGAAACACTGCCCCATAGTGGCAGAAGTTTTACTTACATTTTTC